TAGGCCACTAATTTTACTGAGTTAGGGCCCCACCCCTTTGACCCTAACCCTAATTACCTCCCATAGATTCTATCTCCAAATACAGCTACATAGCAGTTAGGGCTGCAAAATTTAATTGTAGGGGGACAAAATTCATTCTACAACACAAAGTAACCCTAATTAGGCTCAGCTATCTCCCATAAGCACTCATTTTGTTCCAAACCATTCTCTCCAATATGATCAGACTGATCTTTTACACTCAAATATTTACATGTGTGTATGTACATATTTGACCCAACAATTCCACTTCTAGGAATTTATCCTACAAATATATTCACATATGTGAACTAGTATACACATGTACTATTATTTATAAATTACTAGACACAATTTAACTGTCCATCAATAAAAGAATAAATAACCTGTGATATAGCCATGCAATGGGATACTATATGGTCATTAAAAAGAATAAGGAAATTATATATTAAAATGGAAAGATTCCAAGACATTGTTGAAAACAAGGATCAGAATAGTATGTACAGTATGCTACCATATGTGTAAATAACAGGAGGAATGAAAAATATGTATTTTCTTGAATGTCCACAAAAAATGTCTAGGACAATAAACAAAATTAGTACCAGTGGTTATTCCCTCGGAAGGTATAGGGAAAATGGTAGCTGGGGAAGTAGGACCCACTGCAAACATTCTGATTTACTGGGCCTGGAGCATGGCCAGGCATGAGTACTGTATTAAATTCCTCTTGTGATTCTGATGAACAGGCTAGAGAGAGAACTGCTCAAAAATGGCCTTTACCAACTTTCCCAGATTCATTTTGTATTATTCTGCCTTCATCATTCTCCTTGCTCCAGCCACAGTGGCCTCTGAGTTCCCAGGAAAGGCCCTATTCCTTCTGCTTGGAATACTGTCCCCCAAGTTCCCTTTATAACTTTTTTTTAAGTTTATTTTTGAGAGAGACAGTGTGAGCTGGGAAGGGACAGAGAGAGAGAGGAAGAGAGAGAGTCCTAAGCAGGCTTTGGGCTGTCAGCACAGAGCCTGATGTGGGTCTCAAACTCCTGAAATCATGAGGTCATGACCTAAGAGGAAACCAAGAATTGGATGCTTAACCAACTGAGCCACCCAGAAACCCCTAGAACTTCTATTCACCCTTTAATGTCCACCTCAACTTAAAGATCATTTCCCCAGGGAACCTTCCCTAGTTTCCAAACTAGCTCAGGATCCTTGTTTTACGTACTCAGAGCACCCTGTACTTTTCCCAGAATTTATCACAATTTTATGAGGTATTTGTATCATAATACATGTGTGCATATGTCACTCTCTTTAGACTGTAATATCCATGAGTGCAAAGACTATAACAGTTGCTTTACCACTATATTGCCAGACCTAAACTAGCATCTGGCTGCTAAAGTAGGCCCTTCCTCAGATATCTGGTAAATAAATGAATGACTGCTCTGTCCTCAAGTTTAGGACAACAGAAAACCAACACATAAGCAAATGAAGACAATACAGGGTCACTGGTGTTAAGGCAACAGTCTGTTTAGAACAGTGGTTCTCAACTGGGGGTGATTTTTGGTTCTCTCAGAGGACTTGTGGCAGTATATGGAGGCATTTTTGACGTCATAACTGTGTGGGTTGTGTGACTGTTATAACCGTGTGTGGGGGGAGGTACTACTGGTATCTATTTAGTAGAGATCAGGAATGCTACTAAACATCCTAAAATGCAAAGGATAGCCCTCCATAACAAAGAGTCTTCTGGTCCAAACTTTCTTATACCATACACAAAGATAAGTTCAAAACTGATGAAAAGACCTAAATGTGAGACAGAAAGCCATCAAAATCCTACAGAAGAAAACAGGCAGGAACCTCTTTGACCTCAGCCGCAGCAACTTCTCACTTGACATGTCGCCAAAGACAAGGGAAATAAAAGCAAAAATGAATTATTGGAACCTCATCAAGATAAAAAGCTTCCACACAGCAAAGAAAACAATCAACAAAACCAAAAGGTAACCAGTGGAATGGCAGAAGATATTTGCAAATGATATATTGGATAAGTGGTTAGTCTCCAAAATATATAAAGAACTTACCAAACTTAACACCCCAAAAACAATCCAGTGAAGAAATGGACAAAAGACATGAATAGACACTTTTCCAAAGAAGACCTCCAGATGGCAAACAGGCACATGAAAAGATGTTCAACATCACTCATCATCAGGGAATTACAAATCAAAACCACCATGAAATACCACCACACACCTGTCAGTATGGCTAAATTAACAACTCAGGAAACAACAAATGTTGGCAAGAATGTGGAAAAAGGGGAACCCTCTTGCATTCTTGGTGGGAATACAAACTGGTGCAGCCACTCTGGAAAACAGTGTGGAGGTTCCTCAAAAAATTAAAAATAGAACTACCCTATGACCCAGCAATTGCACTACTATCCTTTTGTCCAAAGGATACAAAAATCCTGATCCAAAGGGACACATGCACCCCAATGTTTATAGCAGTGCCATCAACAATAGCCAAATTATGGAAAGGGCCCAAATGTCCATCGACTGATGAATGGATTAAGAAGATGTGGTATGTATGTATACACACACACATATATATACCATTGTATATATACATACATACACAATGGAATACTACTCGGCAATGAAAAAAGCATGAAATCTTGCCATCTGCAACAACGTGGATGGAACTGGAGGGTATTATGCTAAATGAAATCAGAGAAAGACAGATATTATATGATTTCACTCAACTGTGGAATTTGAGAAACTTAACAGATGATCATAGGGGAAGGGAAGGAAAAATAAGATAAAAACAGAGAGGGAGGTAAACCATAAGAGACTCTTAAACACAGAGAAATGAGGGTTGATGGGGCTGGGGCAAATGGGTGATGGGCACTAAGGAGGGCACTTGTTGGATGAGCACTGGGTGTTATATCTAAGTGATGAATCACTGGGTTCTACTTATGAAGCCAAAACTACACTGTATGTTAACTTGAGAAAATTAAAAAAATAAAAATAAAAAACAGCATTATCTAGTCCAAATTATCAACAGTACCAAGAGTGAAAACCCCTAATTTAGAGGATGGTAGTGCACAAAAGGGCGATTAACTCTACTCCAGGTGGTAAGGTTTTTGGGGGGATGAGCAGTGGAGGGGGGAAAATGTTAAGAAAAGCTTTAGTTGTGCGTTGAAAGGTGACTGTGGCTATATCAGTGGAGACTATGTTTGCTAGAGGTAATGAGGAGCCTATGAAGAGTTTAAAAGCAAAGTTATGGTTTGAACAGGTGCCCGCCTCCAAAATTACTCATCTCTTTTATTCCTTTCTTGCTGAAACAAAACTTTCGTTCTCTTAGGGCATCTGGTCTCAGCTAAAACATTAAGCTCAAACTAATTCGGACTAAGATAAAGTCTCATAGTGCCTACACTCTCCAGAATGTTAGCTGCATTTTAAAACATGCAAACACAGATACAAATAAATTTTTAACTGATTAACATTCAGGCTGTTTTTGGACAAACTATTGTTGAATCAACAGCCAGGTTGGTTCTAGTAAAGACTTCTTCAGACCTTTCTATTTAGAGAAAAACTTTACTTTGTTCCCCCTGCCCTCAGCGTCTGAGCTCCCAGATTTATAAAAGATCCAAGTATCCTCCACAGTATCTCAAGTTCTTCTGTCAGAGCCGATAGGAGAGCCGATAGGATGCAACAAATGTGAATACACGTTATGGATAAATTAGTGGTCTACAGATTTTTAAACGGTTTTCACTAAAAGTCATGGATATTTCTGAACGGAATGAAATCGCGGTAATTTTAACGATGCCACCATGAAAGAAAACCGTGTTTCACTACAACACAAGCCTGCTGTCTACTGAGCAGGATGCACATGCTCTGACCTAGTATGGCAATTCTTAGGGTCTCAGCACTGGGTGCTCTGTTTACAAGAAACTGAGGCCTGAGACTAATAAAGAACAAAGAAAAATGCCTGGCACCAAAGGTTTGGGGGTATGTTCTGTACATGAGTGATTTGAGCAGGAACATTTCTTCAGATTTTGGAAGGCACTAGAAATCGTTCTTTTGTGCTTACGTGTTAAGATTTTTTATTTTGTGTTTTCAGGCCATTTCCTAAGAAGAAAATACCTTATAATTTACAAAAAGCAATTTATCCTCCCTTACATTTGCTGACCACTAAACCCGGGTAAAATTTCCTTAAGCTTTAGCAGAGTTGGATTGGGAACAATGTGAGCACAACAGAGTTCAGATGCATCAACTCCAAGTCCGACCAGCTGGTTTCCATCGAGAGGTCCCCTGGGAGAAAGCCCCCTTGGAGGCGGCGGCCAGGGTCGGCGCGGGAGAGACCCATAGGGGAGGTTCAAGGGCGGCCGCAGGGCAGGGCCAGGATATGCCTGGCCTCCGTTTACCTTTGTTTCAGGTACTCCAGCTTCTAGCCGGGCCGGGGATCCCGCCCGAGGCCCGGAGCTGGTGACACATCCTTCTTTGGCCAAGTCGGGCTGAGGTTGGGCAAGGGGCGGGGAAGGAAAATAAAGCCTCAGCGCCTAACGACGTGACTCTCAGTTCTTCCAAAACGTTGGCATTTGTTTTCCTGCCAAGCTTTCCTGTTAACAAGTTCCCGAGGGCTGTGCGGGCGAACTGGCCTGGGAGCCCCGAAAGTAGGAGGGACAAGGCCGTCCCCCGCCTTCCCTGCTCCGTGGGCGCCCCCGAGGCAGGCGGTTTCCACACCTAGCGGGCTGCCACGGCCCGGGACAGAGCGGGGCGTTCACAGGCGGCCGTGCCGCCTCACACCCCGACTCCCAGGGCTTTGCCCTCCAGCCCAGCGCCGCGCGGCCCCTCCGACCGCGCCAGCCAGGCCGGTCCCCGCCCCCAGGCCCCGGCCCCGCCCGCCCGGGCCTCCGCGCGCCGCCCCCCGGCCTCGACACAACCCTCGGGCACGGCCGGGGGCGCCGGGGCTCCAGACCACGCAGCGGACGTCCCCGCGCCTACCTCAGCGCCCGCGGCTCCCCCTCCGGCTGCTGCCTCAGCTCGAGGACGACGCTCGCCGCCAGGACTCACGGCGGCGCGAGATCGCGGCTGCGAGTGCGGCGTGTGAGGAGCTGAGGCCCGAGCGCGCCCCGCCCAGCCGCCCGCCGGTTCCCTCCTCCCCCTTGTGCCCACCCTCTGCCGTGGGTTTGACGCCCCGCCCCTCCCCGCCCGCCCACCACGCTCCGCCCACCCCGCCAGCCGGAGCTGGGAAGGGGCCCTCCAGGGGCGACGCGAGAGCCGCGGTGGCTACCGCCAGTGCGGTCTTTTCGTACTCCGCGGGAAGGCGATTTGTACTTCTTACTACTATCTGCCAGATGAGAATCTCTCGCTCGGATTTGTTATTACTGTGATTTTACTGCCATTATCACTTTATAGTCGTTGTTATTGTTACCTTCATTGGTTCTTTTACCCTCCTGGCGGCGACGGGATGGTTCTGGTGAGGTCAGAGATGGCAGACACGCTGCTCTTGCTACTACTGACCCACACCCCTGGTCCCTCTGTTACTCCCAGCGGCCCGCACCTGTGCCACATTTCCTTGTGAGGAAAACAAGTTGTGTGAATTTTGAAGGAAGATTTATTTTTAACTGTTATTGTGAAATTTAACACAAATGCGGAAAGCCATGTAAACCCAAAGCACACCTGAATGAAATAATTCTGCGATTCACACCCTTATAATCACTCCCCAGATTTAAAGCTATGTAAAACGGGGAAAAACAAAAGTTCATCCGTCTCAGGGAAGAAAGACATAGCCTGGGAAGAGCCTCCCAAGATTGCCCTCCTGGTAACTACCACAGGAAATCAACGGCCATCTGCCCATAATCATGCCCTCTCCAAGAACAAATGAAAATTTCCCCAGAATAAGAAACCTCCAACTAGAATGTATTTGCAAAACTCTCAGTTACAAATATTAATCAAAAAAACATGAGTAAGGAACATCTAGGAGCCAAAGATTAGGTTCTGGGCACCTAGGCTGTCCTCACTCTGTGTCACTTGCCCCGAAAACAACAACATGCATGAAATAGGTGATGTGTGTGTATTTATATCGCAAAGATTTGTCTACTGAAAATTTCACCTAAGGTCAGTTTTTCCAATTGATAAAATGATGTCCTCTGTGAGATGTCTTGATACCTTAGGAAGAAGCTATGATGATTTAAACTGCTTTCCAGTTTTAAGCCCCCCCCCCTTTAAATTATGGTATCATATTTAAGATTTAGAGCAGCCTTGTGAGAAAGGCAGAACAGGACAGAAGGACTTTGCAAAGGTCACAGTGTGATGCATACCTGTAAGAAGAGGAAGTACATAGCAAACTATAAAAAACAGTTTCAGTATTGCTGACCTTGCCAATCCCTCCTGGGTTCCTGATTTGTCTTGACAGTTTTATTGCCTGAGTTTTTACATAAGGACTCTTTTGGTCCTTTTTGCATACATTTATATGCAATATGACTTGAATTTATAAAGGACAGAACACCTAACTGGAAATTTGATTTTAACAGGATGGAGTCAGTCTCTCTGTCATGGGCACCTTGGTAAATGGGCTAGAGAGCTATCAGTTCACTACCATTTATGGAGCACACTGGCTGTGGTTGCTGGTGGGAATACAAAGAGTATAAAATTAATAAGACACGATTTTTGGTCTCCAGGGATTATAGCCAATGAGGGAGAAAGATTTGGAGATCAATGAGGGCTTAATTTATGTGAATGGGAACAGTCCTGAGCATGATTAATTCTATTAGGTGTAGAGACACTGTAGGGCAAGACTTTTTGGAGAAGAGAACATCTGATTTGTTTAAATTCTGAGAAAATGTCAAATATTACAAAAGTAAAGAGAATAATATAATGAACTATTATGTATTCATTACTCAGTTTCAACAATTACCAGCCCTTGGCCAATTTGTTCTATTTGAACCTAACCTTTTCTTTCTCTCCTTGGATTATTTTGAAGCAAATCATAAGCAGCATATTACTTTACCCATAAAAACTTTACTATGTATCCCTAAACAATAGTCTATTTTTTTTAATTTTTTAAAAATGTTTTATTTATTTCTAGGAGAGAGAGAGAGAGACAGCATGAGCAGGGGAGGGTCAGAGAGAGAGGGAGTCACAGACTCTGAAACAGGCTCCAGGCTCTGAGCTGGCAGTCAGCACAGAGCCCGACGNAATGAGACTTTATTTTTTTTTTTTAATGTTTTATTTCTAGGAGAGCGAGAGAGAGACAGAGCGTGAGCAGGGGAGGATCAGAGAGAGAGGGAGACACAGACTCTGAAACAAGCTCCAGGCTCCGAGCTGGCAGTCAGCACAGAGCCCGACGCGGGGCTCGAACCCACGAACCGCGAGATCATGACCTAAGCAAAAGTCAGACGCTTAACCGACTAAGCCACCCAGGCGCCCCAGCAAGTCTATTTTTAATAACAACCACAAAACCAATACAATATCTTGAAAAATTAACAATTTCTTAACATCTAGTCAGTGTGGGTCATTCTTGAGAGAGAGACAGAGTGGGAGTTGGGGAGGAACAGAGAGGGAGACACAGAATCCAAAGCAGGCTCCAGGCTTTGAGATGTCAGCACAGAGCTTGATGCGAAACTTGAATCCACAAACCGTGAGATCATGACCTGCGCCGAAGTCAGATGCTTAACCGACTAAACCACCCAGGTGTCCCCAGTTTTCTTTCTTCTTCTTTTTTTTAATTTTAGTTAACTTACAGTGCAATATTGGTTTAAGGAGTCGAATTCAGTGATTCATCACTTGCATTCAACACCTGGTGATCATCACAACATGTGCCCTCAATACCCATCACCCATCTACCCTATCTCCCAACAACTTCACTCTATCAACCTTCAGTTTGTTCTCTATCATTAAGAGTATCTTGTGATTTGCTTCCCTCTCTTTTTTCCCCCTTTTCCAATATATTCATCTATTTTGTTTCTTAAATTCCACATATGAGTGAAATCATATGATATTTGTCTTTCTCTGATATACTTACTTGGATTAGCATAATACATTCTAGCTTCATCTACATCATTGCAAACGGCAAGATTTCATTCTTTTTGATGGCTGAGTAATATTCCATTATACCTGTCTATCTATCTATCTACCCCACATCGTTTTTTATCCATTCATCAATTGATGGACGTTTGAGCTTTCTCCATAGTTTGGCTATTATTGATAATGCTGTCGTAAATATTGGGGTGCATGTACCCTTTCAAACTGTATTTTTGTATCCTTTGGGTAAATACCTAATAGTGCCATTGCTGGATCATAGGATAGTTCTATTTTTAACTTATTTGAGGAAACTCCATACTGTTCTCCAGATTGGCTGCACCAATTTGCATGCCCACCTATAGTGCAGGAGGGTTCTCCTTTCTCTACCCCCTTGCCAACACCTGTTATTTCTTGTGTTGTTAATTTTAGTCATTCTGACACGTGTGAGGTGGTACCTCATTGTGGTTTTGATTTGTATTTCCCTGATGATGAGTGATGTTAAGCATCTTTTCATGTGTCTGTTTGCCATCTGAGGTCTTCTTTGGAAAAGGAGCCAATTTCTTCTGCCCATTTCTTCTGCCAAATGTCTTCTGCCCATTTCTTCACTGGATTATTTGTTTTTGGGGTGTTGAGTTTGATAAGTTCTTTATAGATTTTGGATACTAACCCTTTATCAGATACGTCATTTACAAATATCTTCTCCCATTCCATAGGCTGCCTTTTAGATCTGTTGATTGTTTACCGTGCAGAAGCTTTTTATCTTGATGAGGTCCCAGTATTTCACTTTTGTTTTTGTTTCCCTTGCCTTTAGTGATGTGGTTAGTAAGAAGCTGCTATTGCCAAGGTCAAAGAGATTGCCGCCAGTGCTCTCCTCTAAGATTTTCATGGTTTCCTGTCTCACATTTAGGTTCTTCATCCATTTTGAATTTATTTTCGTGTATGGTATAAAAAAGTGGTCCAGTTTCATTCTTCTGCATGTTGCTGTCCAATTTTCCCAACACCATTTGTTGAAGAGACTTTATTTTTTCCATTCAGTATTCGTTCCTGCTTTGTTGAAGACTAGTTGGGCATATAGTTTTCCAGTTTTCTTATAAAATGTTTTATTTAGTCTATTTCTTCAAGTCAGGATCCAAATAAGTTCCTTACATTACATTTTGTTAAAATCTCTTAAACTCTTTTCTTTCCTTGTACTTCATATGTTGGCGAAATTGATTGCTTATGCTGTGGAGTTCCCCACTTTCTGTACTTTGCTGATTGCACCTCTGAGGTGTTAACATGTTTTTCTACCTCTTCTCATAAACTGATAATAGAACTAGAGACTTGATCATACTTAATAAAATACAATCCATGGTTAAGTTAGAAAAGTCATTTGTTCAAAATCAGACCCAGAACTGTCATGGATATTAGAACTGGCAGACAAGGACATGAAAACAGTTACTGAACTGTATTCCAAATGTTGAAAAAGTTAAACAGAGACATGAAAGATCTAAAAAAGAGCCAAACTGTAATTCTAGGAATGAAGACTATAATGTCTAAATAGTAATGCACTGGATAGGATTAATGGTGGGTTAGACATTGCCAGAAAAAAGATTAGTGAACCTGAAGTCATACCAATATAAATTATCCCAAATGAAACATACATAATGGGGGAAAAGAATTGTTTAAAAATGAAAAGAACATTAGTGAGCTGTGGGACAATTTCCAGTGGCCTAATACATATGTAAATGGAATTTACGAAGGAGAGAGATGGGGACAAAAAAATATTTGGATAAATAGTGGTCAAAATTTTCCAAAAATGTATTAAGTTTTTATTTTAATTACCTGGTGCGTATCATAACAAATGCACTCCTAAATACCTGTTACCTTTTTCACTCATTCTCCCTTCCCCAAAATTTCCAAAATTTTTAAAACTACATACTCACAGATCTAAGAATTTCAACATACCCTAAACACGAGAAACATAAAGAAAACCACAGGAAGACATATCTTAATCAAATTGCTCAACATCAGTAGTAAAGGGAAAAAAGGAAGTGTTATCCACAAAGAAACAAAC